GCGTAGTTGCTGCGCGATTGATTGAAGTTTTATGACAGACCAGACCATGTATACCGATTATCAGGAAGTGTTCGTTTGCTCGTGCATGGATGCAGCTCCTTTCCTGTGACCTCAACTCTACACCCTTCTTAACACTCCTTCTACACCAAGCGAATCGCAGGAGGACTTCAACAGCCCGCTTCACCTCAGCAAATGGCCCGCCACTTGTCGATTACTGGGGCTAGCAAGCAATACGTCGGTAGGTTTTAGGGTTTAGGGTTTGAGGTTTGAGGTTTAGGATCCTTTTGGGGCCCACACTTCTTGAAGAAGTTGCAACGAGCTGAAGTCAAGTTTTTTCCCAGCCCTTTGTTGTCAGTTGGAGTGTTCTCTAACGTAGAAGCTTGAACCACTAGTATTAAGTTCCCCCCCCATCGTCCTTGTGCATGTTCAAGTTTACGATGCTGTACCCCGACACCTGGACCTTATTCTTTGATTTAAGGCTCCCATGCCTATTTTTGTTAAACTAAAACCCTAATAAGGATTGAAGATGATAATTTTTAATATGGTCTCACCAGGGAACCAGATGCTACCCCCCGGCCAGAATTCTAGTTCCGAAGGCCAGCATGCTGATTCTAGGTTTTCGAGCTCGGCCTTGTCATTGGCACAAAGTTGGATACATGAAGAGCCAAACATTCGTACATACGAGTGTGTGTGTGTGTGTCTCTGTCTCTCTCTCTCTCTCCATTCTTTGTGTGCGTGCACGCCCGTTCTTGCAATGTAATATCTATCTATCTAATATATCTATATATATATATAGGAGTGCACAAGATGTGCACACATTCACCTGTGTGTACAACTTTGCATTCCTCAAGGTTTTGAGCTTAGCATTTCGGGATTCTGCCTGGCCCCAAGAGAATCCTCAGAGTCTAAGACCAAAGGATGAAGAGACTGTGATTCTCAAACTTAGATCACCTGGCATGACAAAGGAGCTGGATTGTACACTACCGCTTTTTTATCTGCAATCCTAAGCCGGCATCTCCGGACAACTTCCTGCAGGTGATTTCCCTCGTTCAGCTGACCGAAGCTTTATCCGACGCAGCGCTGCGTCATGAGCACCTGGATCGAAGGTGTTGACATGTGTCGGGCTTGGGGGTTAGGTGTTGGCATTTGTTGGTTCTTTAAATCTTGGGGTCCTTTGCCAAGCCTATGGGCAAACGGGTGCTATCAACTCTGTTGGGCCTCAGTGATTCAGCGTTCGGAGTTGGAAAATTGTAGTTTCTGCACGCGATCCGAATCCATCGAGCCCGAGATAAGACTTGGGTTTCCACTGTTTCGGCACCGTGATGTTTGTACTGCATATATAATGGGTAGATTCAGCTATAGGACACAAGCCCAAATGATTGTGTGTTCCTAAACCCCAAGATTGGCAGAGTCAGTGGAGTGATGTTTTCTCGCTCCCAGTTTATTCCGCAATCCTAGACTTGTCTAGAAACCCTTGCTTGCTAAGCCTTGAAGCCGAAATATAGCCGACTCCTAGGTAGTGTTCGGGGGAGACCCCTCTTAGGAGACCTTGTTGAGAGGGTCTGTATCCCCAAGGGTCCCCCAAATCCTAAGTCCTACAGACCAAAACCTGACAAGCCCTTGAGACCCAGCAGTGTGAAAGAGGTACGCCATCATCGTACATAGAGTTGTGCTCCCATCTTGAGGTCTGAAGATTGCATGGAGCTGGTCGCAGTGGAGTCGCTGCAGCCCCTTGCCAGGGATATAATAAACAATACTAAACAATAGTGAACTATAATAAACAAGAATAAATAAAAATAAACTATAATAAACGGCGTGGCGTAGAAATCTGGGCAGGTAGTTTAACGACCAACAAATTTGGCACCCAACGACTGGGATGCTGGCCCCTTTTTGTGTGCCCTTCGTGCCAGCTTTGTCGGCCACCTCCCCCGCCACATAACCAGAATAACTTAACTCATCATACCCTTATATAGTAAACCCCAAAAGTTGGAAACCGGATTAGGGACAAATAGTGCTGGGATTCCCTAAACATGACTCTTAAGGATTGAGGCTATTGGGTTTCCAACTTTTGGGCATCTACTATAATAGTAATCTGATTGTAACCGTAGCGTAGTAAACTACTTGTATGGTCCCCATAAGGTAGCCTTGTGGTAAACTTAACTTACGCCGCCCCCCTCATAATACCCTTATGATACCCTTAGGCCAAAAAACGTGCGAGTCGTGCAGGCCTTCCTGAACCATCAGGATCTCGGGCCACAACGCTTCAAGGGTTGAGCTATGCAGTGTGCTTGAAGCCGAACATGTCCGTTGAGAGTCAAGAAGATGCAGGGGAGTTCTCGCTGACGACCCCGATGGAAACCCACACCCATAAACCCTAAACCCTATAACCCTGAACGAACCCTACACCCCAGCTAAACCCCCAAAAAAAGGTTTTGCAGCCTCTTCCCCTCACGACGGAGGCGCGCCGTCGCCGACCATTTGCGAAGCGATGGCTCCAACTTGGAGCCGGCAGAGGCTTGGTTAGGGTTTTACCGTTGAGGGTTTTCGGGTTTAGGGTTTAGGGTTTCTAGGGTTTAGGGTTTGCGAGTTTTAGGGTTTAGGGTTAAGGTTAGCGCCAAAGCAAGAGCTGGGCTTAGGGCTTACATCAGGTTTAGGGTTTGACAAGGGTGTTATATACATGAACCCGAGACGATGCGTTGCTTCACAAAACGCCCATGCAGAAAATCCTCCCGCCAAGCCCGGCAGCGGCAGAAAAGAGGCCTAAAGGCAGTGCGTATGTAGCGATCTAAGATCACTTCAGATCCTAAACCCTCAGCCCTGAACCCTAAAAAAGACCCAAAACTGACCCCTGAAGGAGTCTCCGCATTTGTACCGGCAAGCCTCCAGGTCTCCAAGCGAGAAGTCGGCTTAGCTAAGCCCTACAAGCCCTATAGACCTAATGGCCCTAGCTGGACACTCATCAAAAACCTACTTTCTTCAGGTGTTGCCTATATTTTTTTTAATGATTTCTTGAAGGCAGGGAGAGGTGGGTTATTTGGGCTTAAGGTGGAAAGCCTGATCTCTACACCCTACCGTAAGCCCTAAGCTCACACCCTTGGTCTCTTGGGTTTAGGGTTTAGGGCTTTAGGGCTTTAGGGTTTTAGGGTTTTAGGGTTTAGGGTTTTGGGGTTTTAGGGTTTTGGGGCTTGGGGTTTAGGCGCCACAAGCTCCCACTGCTTCGGGGAGGCTGTGCGCTTTGCTGCGGCGCTCCGGGGCGCTGAGTTATACAGTAAGGCTGCAATGTGGTGTCGATTTAGCAGCGAGGGGATAGTTTCGCAGCCCAAGTTGCCAGTACTAGCCTAAGCCCTTAAACCCTAAATCCTAAACCCCAAACCCCAAACCCTAAGGTCCTAGGCCCTAAACCCTAAACCCTATTTTTCCTAGAAAAAACGGAAAAATCTACCCCCAAACTTATTCCAACAATCGAGGCCCTGGAAGTCGGCTGGTCCAGGGTTTTTTGTAGTCTTTTAGAGGGTTTGGCCAAGCTCAGCTTTTTGAAAGACTCGGCCAAGCCCGGTTCGGCCTGGTGTCTCTTGGTCCTCTGGTCCCTTGGTCCCTGGTCCCCGTCCTGCTGCTTGATGTCTAGGTTCTGGTTTCCTCCCTGGTCCTGGTCATGAGAAGTAACCGAGACGTCAGACAGATGCCGGGAGTTGAATCCGACGCTCATCATCCAAGGCTGCACAATGTCCCTGGTTGCTTAGACTTCGTGCGTCGCACGGCAGAGGACCTGCCACCAGCTCGAGCAATCTAAGAACATAGTTTGGGGTGGAATGCAGTAGCAGAACATAGCTTGAATAATTGGAGCAGGGTCTTGGGGTATATTATTGCAGTACAATCAAAATAAGGAGCGCTTAAGCAACAAGGCCTCACCCGTGGGTCATGTCGCACACATGGTTCGTGAATTGATGTCTTATTCACTTAGAGGTTTCTGGGGTTTCGAGTTTCAGCGCTCCCGTCTCTTCTCAGATCGCTATTTCGGCCGTGTAAGGCTTCGGTTGAAGGGTTTGGGTGGGGGGGGGGTTATCAGAAGTTCTTGAAGATGACACGGTGCAAAACCGTAGCCATCTACGTCATCCCCACCACGACCATCGTAAGAACCAACACCGTCATCGCCCTGTAAGCAAGAAAGCATGCAAGCTGGGCAATTGCAAAAGTAGTAAGCAGCATTAGGTAAGAGAGGAGTCTTCAGGCAGGTAGTTGGGCCACTTTTCATTACGAGGAATTACGATCTCTTTAAGGCCATCATCAGCGTTAGATATTGTTATATATAGTAATTATAAGAAGAATATTATTACTATTATTATTATTAATATCTTATTATGTATATATATATATATATGATATGATATGATATGATATGATATGATATGATATATTTTACATTCATTCATTCTGCAGCCGTTTAGGAGCGATGGCCTGAAAATGAGGAGTCGACGCAGTACTCGTGGGCATTTACTGGAAGCCGCGCTTAGGGATTGTGGTTTAGGCTAATTACGGTCTATGGATTACAGTAATCGCGAAAGACTGCCAAACATCTGGCAAAATAGAAACCTGGTGTAAATTTGCTTCATATCTGGGAAACACAGAAATGCCGCAGAACCCTAGGCCCATCACCCTGAATCGAGGCAACTGCTCACAGGCAGAATCTCACTGCAAAACACGCTGTAATATTGGGGTCCGAATAATTCGAACGGGGGTTGTTGGGATATATTGCAGCGTAAAGCAATAGGGACTATCCGCTTGTCTTGAAATATAGGTAATACTATTAGGACTTCTATTGTATTCGTAGCGTTATTTAAGGCTCTTCCCACTGCCCCGCGTGTCTCCTCTACAGAACTGGCACTGCCTTGCTGGCCCTAAGGCTGATGTTTGCTATCCTGCCTCATCTGCTCCTACACACCTCTCATGACCGCGACCCTGATCGCCAAACTTCCTGACTCTTCAAAAGCCGGAGACGGAAGGCTGTGGGCCAAAGCGCTCACGAGCTTTCGCTGCGAGATGGGCTGCTGAGTCCTGGCTGATGTCGGGTATCCCTTCTGGTGCTTTCGTCGCCAGATCTACTACAGCTGAACCTTACGCCTAAAGAAACAAGGTACCCCCAGAAAAGGAATTAGCTTCTCGAGAATACATCGGGCAACCTTCCTTAGCCACGATCTTCCTTGAAATTCTTGCCCTACAGGGCAAGCACTGCTCGCGATGTTGGGAGTATGGGGCTGGCCTCTCCGTAGCAACTCCTTTTCACTGTGTACATGCAAAGGGGTCATTGAATGCGGTGTTGACTGTCGGTCGAGGAGGCTTTTAGGTCAAGGTTTAGGAAAGTTTAGGGTTCAGGGTTTAGGGTACCCTAAACCCGAAACCCCAAGTGGTGCAGCCCAGGATGGCGTAGGGCATGGGAAATCATACGTGCGAAGACACAAGGAGTGTTTTGGTACACAGGCATGCGCACAGCAATCGGGCGACAACCCCACGGTGGCCCAGTGCCAAAATCTGAGCAAAACACTTCTTGAGACGGACGTTTTGTAGGCCTTCCCAAACTCGTGTGCCATAGGCAATACTTCGGTTTCCCCAAAGCCCCTGAGCTCCAAAGCCTGTGAATTTCGTGGGGATAAAGAAGGCTACGAATACTAGCCAATCCGATTGGCTTTCGAGTTTGTTGGTTTAGAGTCTAAAGAGAAGGCTTAGGTTGTTAGGGTCTTGGGTGTGGAGGGGGGGGGGCCTGTCGCTTTTTCATAGAGTTTTAACATGCTTGTGGTTTTTTTGAGGTTAAGTATGGAGATGCCTCTGGGCACTACTAGATATTATACTCTCTCTCTCTCTATATATATATATACACACACTATATCTGTCTATCTATACATATATATATACACACCTATATATAATACTATATATATATGTATACACTAACACCCTGCAGGATGCTTGGAACCCTGCAGCAATTGGAGTTGCGGGAGGCACCGCGCTTTGAGATGACGCCCTGGCGCCAGAGCAACGTCCAGTAACACCCACACCTTTCGTTCTTTCAGTCGATAGCCCTATAAGCCCCGCTAAACAGTAAGCCCTGAATCCTACACCCCATCCCGGAACCCTGAACCTGTAAACCCGAAATGAACCTTGCAAGCCCCAATCCCTTAACCAAGCAGGGAGACTGTATGTACATCCCGCATAGGGCTCTGGGAGGGCTCGATAATGACTTTAGGGATTTGTGTCAGGTTTACGAAGGGTTGAAGTTACATAAGGTCAGATTTTATAGGGGGTTTTACTGAGCCACAACGAAGTCACCAAGACAGTTTGCTTACAATAGGGGCACCAATGTAATTGGTGATACTGTTCCTTCGAGCTCCTTGTTCTGAAGTTCTAATGATTTCAATTTTCCGCTTCCGCACATAAATATCAAGCTCCTGCGCAAACCGATGTTTTTGGTGACGGAGGCGGCGTTATGGCAGCCGCTGCTGTGGCAGCTTCATAGAGTGGTCGACAAGGACAGCGGGACGTTCTCATACCTGAAAGAAGTAGGACTTGGGCAACCAAAGCGTTAATACGTACATAATGATTGAAACCTAAACCCGCAACTAACCCTAAACCCCTGAACGATGGAGTCTGAACCCCAGAACCGCAACTTAAACCCCCTAACTACCCCAGAGTCGGTTTTGTCAAGGCTCATGGGAACTCAGTACGGAAGCCTTGGCTTGTGCTTTTAGGCGTAGAGTTCGGGCTAAAGTATAGGAACCTGATTAGGAAGCCTAAAGGATCTTAATTGCGGTTCTTCATGCATATATATATATAATATATAGTATAATAATATATATATATATGTGTGTGTGTGTATATTATGTATATGTATATATACATGTATCCCACTTTTTTGAGGTTCTGTAGCTGTTATTTCGTAGTCAGGTTCCTACATTATCCTTCTTGTCGTTATGGCCTGCTTACCAGTCGCCCGGCTCTTCTGCGACCCTTACCGTGGTGTTGATGTGGAGGACCCGAGAAACCACGGCCTTAGACCCTAAACCTTCAACCCTTGCTGTGGACGATCCGAGAAATCCTGCACCCTAAACCCCTAATGCCCTAAGCCCTAGGATCCCAAGTTGGGTGTTTGGCTCTGGGAAAGCTTAGCTTCGAGAAGCCACCCAAACACATCAGTATCAAGAGCAGTCCTTCTAAAATATAGCACACAGTGTACCATGATATATTGTAAAGTAGCCGTAGACTGGCATACTTCTAGACCCGAAAACTTCGAGCCCAAAACCCAGATTGCCGTTCCCGTTGTGACCCTAAGCCCACCCACCACTTTGCGGCTAAACAACCGCCGGAAACCCCAAGGCCCAAACCAAACCCTAAGGCCCTGAAACCTAAAACGCTAAATCCCAAAGCCGCAACCCATCTCCAACCCCGATTTGTTCAAGTGAACACTCATCTCCTCCTTGCTTCACTAAAGGAGACGTGGTCTCCTGCAGTGGCCATCCACCTCTTCCGGTCACTGGAGAGGTCTGGCAGGGTGGGTATGTACCCTAAGTAGTTCCTTTTTGGGATCACCTTATAGGGTTCTAAATATAAACCACAAAAAGGAACTACTTAGGAGTCTATGGGTCTACAGGCCTTAGGTTTGCGGGCCTATAAGGTCTTCCCGACGCGGGGCAGATTTCGAAGTGTTGCGCACAGCAAGAGTCCGACGAGTGTATTGGAAGCCCCCCAGCGCACTAAACTCTAAACCCCGAAACCTTCAAATGCCCTAGAAAAGCCATAGAACCCATTGCCCTCGTTCCTGGGCCAAGATCGCTTCAAGAACAAAGCGCAAAGCACTCTGTGAGCCTCCAAAAAGCACTTGCAAGCAAGGCTTCTAGCTGCAACAGAGGGGACTTAAATGACTAGACTCGGGGTTTCGGTGTCTATTGTTCTATATATACTTATGCCCGGGACCCCAAAGAAGAGGATTAGATATTCAGGCTTCTGTGTTTTGTATAATATAGTTTGCCGTGGATTAGGTTGGGGTGTTGGGTTTGTCGTTCTGGTTGCGGGGTGTTTTGGGTTTGGGGTTCCTGCCTGCAGGCTCGACTGCTACTGTCAGCTGCTCGCGGAGGAGGTGTTCTCAAGATGGGGAGTCTTTTTGAGAAATTAAGTTTCTCCGGAAACTACAGACAAAGCCGGTGTAGGGCGAAGGGCCACCTTCCAATGTACATCGCTTCGGGGTCTGTTATATCCGGCTGGGGTGTGGTTTCAAGGTCAAGGTCTATGGGAGTTGTGCAGTTGGAAGATGTGGGGTTATTGGCAGCCAGCAGTCTTGAAAAAAGTCCGTCCCATCATTCAGGCTCCTGGGTTTCACAGGACAGCCCTCTTTCGCAAGGGACAAGCCGAACCCGCCTGGATTCTGAACCAAGTTTCGCGAAAGTTTGAGAAAAAGGCACCCTGAGCACTTGAATGTGTAGACCTTGCATTCCTAAGCATTGAACCGCTTCACCCCTACGTACCTTAACAACAAATGGCCATTTCTGAAGGACTTATGTCCGGAAACCATTATCCGGACCCCTATACAAAAATAGGTTTTTATCTAGGGTCCTTTCAAGCCCTGAAGTGCAGACAAGAGGATCAAAAACCCAAGCGGAATCTACACCGCACCCTACAGTGCCACATCCCCAACTGCCATCTCCCCCAGCCCAAGATCCCAAACTCACGACCAGAACTTATTTTAGAGTTGATCCCTATAACGCCCTAAAACAGCAGAGCAACTTCGACTGAATCTCAGAATCCTCCACTGAAGCCGTCCGCCCTAGCGTCGAAGCCCTGAGCATTCCGAGAGGTGGATGCTGTGCAGGCGTTCTGTGCAAAGACCGCAGAGCTACTGCAAGGCCTGGGCGTTGGGGTTCATAAGGATGTGGGGCTCTTGGGGTGTTTAGCTTCGACACTTTAGGCTGTATAGTAGGAATAAGCTTTTAGGGGCTGTTGGAGGCTATAGTTCATACCCTAAGCCCTTAACCTTATAAACCCTAAGCCTTTAGAGTAGGTGTTTTTAGGCGATTAGGATCGCTTCAGAGCGTGTTGGGGTCTTTGCCCAGAACAGCTTACCGAAAAGATCGCTGCTGACGTGCAGGTATGGCTTCGACCTCTGAGCTGGAGGCGCAGAATGCCCTATCCCTGGCGCGATCACTCCAGGCACCCTGGCCCGGTCGGAGACAGAGGATTTCGAGTTTATTGGCTTAGGGACTGAGCAGGTAACCTTTAACCTTTTGGGGGCTTTCTTAACTTAGTATAATATAACTCAAAAGGTTAACCTTTTCAAAAGAGTAGAAGGACTGACTGGTTCCTAGTAAGGAATGGGGGAATGGGTTATTGGGACTACTATAGGGGACCTTAAGGGACGATCATGGGGATCCATTCCCTCCCTCCCTACGAAGAACCAGGGAGTTATTGGGCTTATCCAGGCGGGTCCGAGCTATGCATTCATGAGACTCGTGGGTTCTCAGGAGGACTATATAATTAGGGTTGAGGTCTTTTTTTGTTGCTTAGTCTGCGATCCTCGTTTGCTAGACGGGTTGCGTTTGGGGACTTGTCGCTTTGGTGTTTTTTTGGTTATCCGTTTAGGTTTCATCCTCCTAAGCCCGCGCACTAGAGGATTGACAACCCTCAGCCAAGTCTCTCAGTATGTTCAGAAGCTAGCGGCTGCTATTCCCTCCTCCAGGAAAAGCCGTAGCCTTAAACAGTATAGTGTTTCCTTTGAGTCTGAGCAGCATGGGATGTTTGCAGACACCTGCAGTCTTGAGGTGGCAGCAGAAGGCGCCCCGATGTCTGAGGAGTGGCGCAACTTGGCTCGCAAGAGGCTTACTCGCTCTTAGGGTTTAGAGTTTAGGGTTTATGGTTTAGGGTTTATGGTTTAGCATTTATGGTTAAGGGTTTAGAGTTTAGGGCTCCAAGCCACCTACTCTCCTTGCCGGCTCCTGTAATGTGAGACCCCACAAATTTTTTGTCCCGAGTCAAAGAACAGGCGGTGTAGGAGTTCGTCAGGTTTGGAGACTCCAAAAGGTGGGCCCGCCTCATAGGATGAACCAGGGCGCCTAGTGAGATGAGCCCACCCTGGTACTGCAGCAGGTGGAGGTTGCGTCTTCAAAGTCTTTCGGCATCGCGATTGCGCTCCTTCCCCATATAATTAGCCTAGGCCCTCCCGGCCATCTTCCTTCAGAAGGACTTTGCTCATGGACCCTGTAACTGTAGGCCCAGCAAAGCTTGGCAATTTTTTGAAACTTGGCTTGTGCATCAGGCCAAGCTATTCTTGCACACGTCGCAGCCCAGCTGCGATGAGGGTCAGGTGAATGCTGGTTTGGTTCAAGGTGGCTTTGAGACTAGGACTCGTACGCAGTAGCAGTACGGCAGAGATGGGCCCCAGTTTCAATGTTTCGAGTCGCGCCCAGGCTCCTGTATAAGTTTTGAGGGTTGACGGTGCATTCAAGGCTCCGGCATTTTGGGTTTCGGGGTTAGAGTTCTGATTCGTGCTTATAGGGTTTCGGGTTTAGGGTGAACTCCTGTCGTTTTCGTGGGCTCGGTACGGATTTGGCTATGCACTCCAATCAGAAACCCAAAACCCTAAAGGGCAGGACAAGGAGCCAAGGGAGACCGCAGGTAGTAGACCAGTGCAGGTCGGCAGTTGAATCCGACCCCCCCCCCGCCCCCCCAAAGCAGAGAGCCTTCGGTTCCAAGCAGAGAGCCCCTCGAATCTTCGGAGCATGGTTTGGGGCTGGGTTTAGGGTTTAGAGGTTTGGGGTTTGGGTGCAAAATCAGGGCCTCATTTCAACCCCAAGATTGCTGCACATCTCAGGCAGCAACGGCCTGTCGCTTAGACGTCAATGCATGGTCGACCGGTACCACAGAAGGACAGAACCTCGGGCTGCAGTGGTTGAGAATGCTGCATTCTTCGAGTCTACTCCGCAGTCAGGTTGCTGGGGGCGGTTCTCTTGTTGATTAGCCATCTTCATTAGGGTGTGATCCATTGCGAAAATGCAGTCGTCGGTCCGAATGCTATGTGGTTGAGGAGTTTGTGATTGCCGGAAGGCGAAACAACAATGCTGTGCTTGTACTCGTCGCGGCAGTTGGAGCCAGACATTGAGTCCTTCCTGTGTCACTCCTTGAGACAAACTCAATGGACAATTTAGAAGGCTCGCAATCCACCAACACCTCGCAGTCTCAGCGAAAGGGTTTCAACATTTCGCTGAAAAGCACAACTTGGTGATTGTCCTCCTGTGGCACAGGCGCGCATACATCCAAATGCGGTCAGCCATGGATGCTGGCTTTAGAGACAGGGGGGTGATCCATCAGGGGCCCAGCGAGGGCCCTAAACCTTAAACCCCAAAAACCCTACAGGCCCTAAACCCTAAACCCCAAAAGCCCTAGACTCTAAGCCTCAAAAGCCACCCCAAAACACCCTAAACCCCAAACCCTGGTCGAGTTTACGCAAGGCGCAGTTGGCTACAACATGCCTTCCTCCTTGGCCGTGCGGTCTGGGCCACAGGGCATCCAGGCGCGCGGCGGTTGCTGCTCAGCGCCCGGCCTGCAACTGCCTTCTGTTTCAAGGCTTCTACAAGGGCTACCATAAGGGTTTAGGGTTTAGGGGATCCTATAAGGCTACTATGAAGGGATCTTTACAGGGTTTAGGGCGAAGGGTTTTCCGCTTTTAGAGTGTTAAGTCGAAGGTTTCTTGTACTGAGATTTGTAGGGTTTAGGGGGTCTGCAGATTATTCGAGCATATTTGGTTCTCTATCTGGGGATTCGTGAGGACTTGTCTTGAGGACCGCAACTATCCTCAAATCCTACCACAGATTTTCCGGTGTAGCATATGATCCATGGTAGGTTCCCGTCAACCGACCAAGGTACGAAGGAACCAGACTTCCATCTGTCTCCTGTGGCTGCCCTGCGGTTGCTGCGAAGCTTTGCAGCGGCGCCGCCAGGGCGCAAACAAAGGTTGAAGTTTAGGGTTTAGGGTCAGCACTTTGCTTGTTCAGTGGGTCGGCGCCAATGCCACCGAATGTTTGAGAAAGGGGTGCTACCGATGACTTGAAGCCTTGTGACATCTCCGTTTCAAACCGACACCCTATGTCCCAGAGCCCAGTATCCGAAAGCGCCCTGAAACGCCCTAGGACTGTAAAATCCCAGGGCCTGACCCCCAAGCCCACACAAGTCGGAAAGGGTTCTTCGAACAAACTAAACTCCTAACAAGTAGCAATATCAACTTACAGCCCCTATGCCTGTGTGATGATGTACCAAAAAGCTTAGTCTAACTACTATGGTTCAAGTAAGGCCTCTTTGATCTAAACTCCAGAAGGAATTTCGACCTGTCCTCATCGAGTCCACTACCGGGAGCGCTGGCGACGGTGGGAACGATGGACGACTTGAACCCCGGCCGATGTTTGTTGTTTGCATGAGGACGGCCGCGCAGCAGATCCTAAGAAACAGTAGCGTGTGGTGACTGTGAGGCCACATGTAGCTGCATACCGCATAAGGAAGCCCAGCGACAACAGCAGCCACCACCACGACAGCAATGTAACGCGGACTACCATAACCAGGAAGACCATGACGACAGCGACGACCGCCACTGGGTTTGCGGCTTCAACTCCTGACTTCTCAGGAAGGGCTGGCAGAAAGCGCTTCTGCTGCCCTCCTTGGCCGCCTCTAGCAGCTACCAGACGCCACCAATGGATGAGCTTCTAAGCAGATGCTTGTCCTGGGAGGCTTTGCTGAATGTAAATGTAGGCTTTACGTCGGGCTGCCGGGACTTCAGAAGAATCAAGACTTGGACCTTGGCCGGAGGTGACTGTGTCCCGTATGGGGCCTTGCATGCGGATGATACAGGAGCTACCTCTCAGTTAGTCCTAGCTACTTAGTCAACTGGCAATTTCTTCAAGCCGGGACCTTCAGATCATAGACGCTGCGGACCATAAGCCCTGGACCGAAACGATCCTTTAAGAACCGACAAGCCGACAGGTCCTCAACCCTAACCGTTGAACTCTTTGGTCCCCAAAACCCGAATCTAGAATCCTATCAACCCGGACCTGGGTTTCTGAACCTAAACCCCGAAACAGGCCCTAAACCCTAAACCTCGGCCCCTAAACCGTAGCACCCTCATCCCAAGCCTTACCCTGAGCTCCTGACAGTCGGAACATCTCTGATGGCTAGTCTGTGCTGGGCTCTTCTCGATGCAACCTCACGGGGTTCCTTCAATCAAGGACTCTTTGGGTTCCGTCTGTGCGTTCCCGCAAAGGGTTCATTGGGTCCCTTATAAGGGCATGAGGATACGGAATACGCAGTGAAATCATATCTCAAGATTTGTCCCGAAGCCCTACTCTACTTTTTTAAGGCTCCCATGTGAACGACGCTCCAACCCTCTGGCAGCCATAAATCGATAAACCCTATGCCTTGAATCCTGAACCCGCAACCGGTGGTTCGGCATAATGTGTTATCCCTATATCAGTCCGATATACTATAAACCCCGAACGCTACTCTGATTAGTTGAGGCGCATTGAGCCCAGACCATTAAATCCTAAAAAATTGCAAATCCAGACGTGTGCGAGCCTCTGAGTTGGAAACTGCAGCCTGCTAAGGACGAAACTGTCGTCCCTGAGCCAGCCGAGAGTCTTGTTCATACAGTGGAAGATAGATCTATCTATCTATCTATCCATCCGTCCATTTATCTATCTCGATCTCTATCTACCTATCTACCTATCCACCTATCGATCGATCTATCTATTTACCTAACTATCTATCTATCTATCTATCTATCTATTTACATACCTACCTATCTATCTATCTATCAATCTATCTATCTATGTATCTAGAGGTGCTTACTTCGTTACGTATTCATTTGTTTACGTTCCAATTCAGTTATTTTCATTATTTCTGTTTTTGGATGCGCAATTATCTGAAGTGTCTCCACGTCAGAAAGTGTTGAGGCTTAAGTGTTCAGGTTCAGGGTTTAGGGTGCAAGACTATAGGATTTAAGGTTCAAGATGTGCGAGTTCGTGTGTTCGGCAATGGCTCTTGTGCCTTTGAACCTGCCTCGGGCCCGAGCCCGAAGCTTCAAAGCCGCAACTGCGAGCGGAGTTTGTCGGCTCGTCTCCGGGAGGGGCTCCCACTAAGGGGTCTGGGTTTAGGGTTTAGGGTTTCGGGTTTAGGGTTTAGGGTTTGGGGTTTAGGGTTTAGGGTTTAGGCTTTCCGTTTTGGACCCCAGTGGTTCAAGGCAGATACAGCTTGAGTTCAGGCTGATATGATCCGCGAGTTCTAGAAGGGTGGCAGTCGTAGGGAATGTAAACCCTAAACCCTAAAGACCCTAACAGCAAGAGGCCTTCAACCACAAGCACTCAACTCACTTCACCCTGCTCCCTGAAATACAAATCCCCCACACCCCAAACTTAAGCCCAATTCCCTGGGCGCCCACACCCTACAGTCCTGAGCCTATATCCTATACCGCCGAGGATGTCTCTAGCTGGCCTCCTTCTTCTGTCGAAAGCTGCAGATGAGCCGGAAAGTTGCTTGATCCACTTAGGGTTTGGGATGTAGATTTTTTTGAGGACAAGTTTTTGAGCATTTTGATACGGTTCACTTGCTGGGAGCATTTCAAAAAGACATTCGTGCCCTGGCCGTTCGACCCGCGGCCATCAGAGCGATGAAGTAGAGTCAATTCCACCAGGAACATGTTGTAGCATTGTAGCATTGCGTAGCTCAGTGATGCGGACTGTGCTGGTGCCCGCCGTCTGAGCTTGAGTTGCGAGGGCTTAGGATGTGGAGCTGAAGTTGTTTTTTTCGACGACGGGGAAGGGTCAGGCTTTTCCTCGTGCCCTGAAAAGCCTAGAACCTAGGCCCCTAGGGGAAGGATGCTTCAGCGCCTTGACGCAGAGACCCTCAAGCCTAAACCCGATAAGTTTGGGGCTTCTTGTTGGTTGCGCACTCCGGGCCTTGCATCTGTTTGTCTCTGTCTCATTGCCTGCCTTTCCGTCCCTATCGGTAGTTCTCTAAGTCTGGGCCCCTTTGAGGAACCCAAAAGAAGTCGGCACCCTTATAAAGAAAAAGGGCCCTACCAGACCCCAATTAGAGAACTACCCTGATGCAGCGCATTCCTTCGTAGAGGTTAGGGTTTGCTGTCTTCACTGTGTTGAGCCCATGTGAGGCGATCGGCGTCAGGAGTTTTTTTTTCCAGCATCTGCCAGAAGGCCACCACGTAAAAGCATCAATTCTTCCCTTGCTCATACAGTCTCTTCATCAGTACGTGTGTGTGTGTTGGTGGATTCTTTGAGACCGCAGCTTCTTCTTGTTCGTCTTCCGCTCATTATAACTGACCGTAGGGCCAAAGCCCAAAGGCATTACCCTGAACCATGATTTCTCATGAAAATGATACAAAAGCAAGTAAACCAAAAGACGCAACAACTGACCTTCTAAAGCCCCTCCAAAGCCTCCAAAGAAAAAGCCGAAACCCTAAACTCGAATCCCGTAAACAACAGACACCAAACCCTGAAGCCCCGAACCTTTAAACCCTATAAAAGCAAAAAACCTTTCTACACCCCTCATAAGCCACTCTACAACCCCGATAAACCAAACAAGCTCCTAACAAGGCCTTTCCCCAAGCGAGAAAACGCATAAAACCCCGAAGCCCTAGTCGCTAAACCCTAAACCCAAAAAAACAAGCTGAACCCTAAACCCTAAAAAAAAACTATAAACCTTAAACCCTCAACCCGAAAAAAACTCTTAAACCCTAAACCCTATATAGTCCCA